GAAGCATGAGAGATACACTTCCATTTTGACATGTTTTAACTGGTAGTTTTTCTTCGGTTAAGCTACCAATTTCTCCTTAATTCCCTTTAACTTGCAAAAAGTATGTGCGCTTGGAGGGATTCGAACCCACGACCCTTGCCTCCGGAGGGCAATGCTCTATCCGAACTGAGCTACAAGCGCATGTATTTAGTTATCTTATAGATAAGCTATCTAAGTCAAACTTTTGTTTTGGGTAAAGTGTGAATACTACACTGTCTTTAGCAATAGATACATTCTGAGAATTATTAATTTGCTTCTTTAATAGCTTCTGATCCACATGCCACACAAAAGTTACATGATCTTCATTAACTGATTGCACTCTGAGATCTCTAGCGTTCATAAATAACTTTCCATTCACCCATATTTTCCATATGTCATGCGATAAAAAAACAATTGAATCTAGTATAACTGTCCTGCAATTAAAGTTATTTACTATTTGCTCCTTAGTAGTTGCTATAGACCTTGGAGTAAACTTTTCCATTGTATCAACAATTTTATTTACCTGATTATCATCAAAAAAGATACTTCTTATACCATTGTATTGTGATAAAGTTTCAAGATCATTGTCCGTCGCCTCTCTTATAACATCTTCTTGATCCATGTAATTTAGATTATTACTATTTACAAAAAAACACTCTTGTGAGCGCACACGCACTATATCAGTAAAATTGTCTGTCTCTTGATTAACAATATTTTCAAAATATTTTTTCTCTGCTATTCTTCCTTGTTCAGAATGGTGACAGATCATTTCATCATTGTTATGTTTTTCAATATATATGCATAAATTTTTGCTATCTAACCCCAGTATTTTATGTTTTATGTAATTTTCACCACCAATATACCGTGAGCATGTGTATGCTTTACAAGCCTCAATATTCTCTGCAATATCCTCACAGCTACAGTATACATTGATACTAAGGATTAGCAGTGAAAGAAAAAAAAAGAGCCTAATCTTCATTTTTTAACACAGTATACCAATCAAAAACTATATTCGCTCTTACTACTTCTACCATATCACCATTTGAAATTTGATGCATAATTACAGTATCAATGTTTCGCTGTTTATTCAATACAAGAGACTTAATCATAACATAACCAGGTAGGCTAGGAATAGACTGTAAAAATAAAAAGATATGCTTATCACTTACTGCACTAAAACTTAATGTTACTTTACTCTTAATGACCTTTGTATGCTTACCTATATGTTGAATCTCAACTTCTTCTGGTACTGAAATTGACATTTCAGGACTTAACATACTATATTTTCTATACAAACGTTTAAGCTCAAGACTCAAATTACTGATATATTTACTGCTATGTAAACTAGAAGAAGAAACCCTTTGCCATAAATCAAGGTATTTGTTAAACACTACTTCTCTTTCATGAGCCTCAATAATTTGAGAATTAATAAAATGTATCCTATCAATAGTGTCCTGGTTTCTACTATACACTTTTTTATTGTAAACAAAAACACAAGCTAGTAGTGCAACCAACACAATAAATAACAAAAAAAACAAGAAAAACCGGATTATAGCCTTTCTTTTTAATTGAAGAATATTCATATCATTTCTTTTATTTTAACATCAACAACTACATGCTGTTTTTCAGATGGAAAGGAAATAGCTAAGTCTGAAATATAAACTGTTTGGGTACGGAAATTATTATTTAAGCTTTTTTTTAGTTCTCCATACCTATCGGAAACACTCGTATCAGATTGTAGATGAAATTTCAGTTCTGTAGTAATAGAATTTTTCAATTCATCATAACTCCACTCAAAAGACTGTAACTCTACATCAGATATTTTTAGCTTCTCCACATACCTAATTTGCGTAAGAGGAGAATACTCTATCTTCGACAAAACATTATTCACGTTAATAAAACTAAAAATGTCATCCATTTTTTTTGTGTTGTAATTTTTGGTAAGTTGTGTTAGCTGACCATCCAAAAGGTGCTCTTTCATTTTTAAATCACCTGTTATTCGAACATTAGAAGACAAATTTGATAAATAGAAAACATTAGCCATAATTAAACCAAGGGTTAGAAACAAAAAAAAACTAGGAGAGTTAATATATAAAAAATTAAATAAATAAAACTCTTTAGTTTCCTTTGTGTGAAACACAGCTGTTGGTTTATTCTTAAAACTATGAAATAAAATTACGGTATCACAAAATTTATCTTTTTCACTGATAGCTAGCTCCAGTTTTAATAATTCATTCAGCTCATAAGGAGTGAGTATACTTACACTGTTCTCTGAAAAGTTGATAACTGANGATAGGCTATCTTTAACATCCTCTTGCACTATAAGACAAAGGTCTATTGGGTCATCTCTTTTAAAACCAAACTTAGTTAAGGATTGCACAGTATTTTTCACTTCTTGATATATTCCACCCGCAATAATTCCTGGCAAATTATCACCTGTAAAAGGTATAAGTCGTGTAAACACTATCTTCTCATCCTTCATAACTATTTGCCTATATCCACTTGTTTTAGTAGAAGCAACCATAATTTTCCAGTGATTGGGATTTTCATGCAGAATTTTTTTCGCTATGTTACCCATTTCTATAGGGAGCATTAATATTCCCTTAAAATTTGAGCCTATATCAACAAGCATATCCAGCCAATATCTTATCATACTCTGAGTTTTTGATAAAACTAACAGGTACCACCAGTTACTATTATATTTGCCTGGCTTTTCAATCAGGAGTGCTGAGTTTATATCGTATTGGTTGGCAAAGTGTTCTACTTTTGTTTTTGCCAATAAATAAGCACTTATTCTATTCACATCAGGAATAGAATGTAGCATATAGTTTTGATCTGCATGATTTAAAACTAAGTACAGTGGAGCTTTTCTGTCGTCCGCAAGACATGATCTTAAATCAGAGATTACACTACTATTTTTACTCTTAATAAAATACCTTTTATTTAAAGTATTATTTTGAAAATATAGCAATATTGCACCCTCCTCCCCAATGGAAAGCATAAATTTGCTTTTTGGTTTTATTTTCAACATACTATTGGTTATACACTTACTTAAAATTTAAAATTGAATTTATTTAATTTCATTAAACATTCGAGGAGAATTTTTACAAATAATAACTGAGTGAAAATATCGCTTGCAAAAAAATTTCTGAAAAAACTTATTTTACTGAAATAGCTTAGAGTTTAAACTTACTTGGTAAGATATTCCCTTATCTTTTTCAAATCCTCCCAAGCTAGACGCTTTTGCTGAGGCTGGCGTAGTAAATAAGCAGGGTGAAATATAGCGGCTGTAGTAATCGAATCAGATAAATATTGATTGGTGTAAGTGTAAAACCTACCACGCAAATTAGGGATAGTTTTTGTATTATCAAGCAGGCTGTAGCACGCTATACCACCTACTAAAATTAAGATTCTTGGTGCAACAAGTGCTATATGCTTCTCAACAAATGGCCTGCACATATCAAGTTCTAGATCAGTTGGCTTTCTATTGCCAGGTGGACGCCAAAACACAGTGTTACTTATATAAACTTTTGTGCGGTCAAGATCGATTGCATTTAACATTTTATCAAGTAACATCCCACTTGCACCACAGAATGGTATACCCTGTAGGTCTTCATTTGCTCCTGGAGCCTCCCCTATTAGCATGATCTCCGCATTTGGATTTCCGTCAGAAAAAACAGTATTAGTAGCAGTTTTCTTAATTTCACAGCCTTCAAATGATTTAACTGCAGCTTTTAATTCATCAACGCTGTCACATTTGCTTGCAAGTTTCCTTGCCTCAATTATCCAATCACTCGGGAAAAAATCCTGTTGTTCTTTTTTATTAATTTGCTTATCTGCACCAACAAGCTTATCTTTTTCTGTCTCTAGTGTTTCTTTCATTGTGCAATCAACACCTATTTCATGATAGAACTTTAATAATTCCAAATCTTTATCATTGACCATATGCTTCAAAAATTAAGACGGACATGAAATAGCATCATTACAGCATAATACTATAGCTCTGTCAAGAGTACCTTTCTTTTATTTTCTTTGCTTTTTTTATAGCTAGACCATACTTCAGTTTTGATAAATGTCTAATATATAGTATACCGTTTAAATGATCTAACTCATGTTGAATGCACCTTGCAAGCCACCCGTTAGCTTTAATTGTTTTCTCTTTACCATCTATATCCCAATATTTCACAGTAAGGTATTGTGGACGTTTTATTTCATAGTGCTGCTCTGGAATAGATAGACAACCCTCCGTCATTACCACCTGTTCATCAGACAGCTCTGTAATCTCTGGATTTATCATACAAAAAGTTCCTATTGATTGATATCCTGGATATTCCTCTTGATATTCTGGCGATATACATGTAACAAAAACCCTTTTTAACACTCCCAACTGCACCGCAGCAAGACCAAAACCATTAGCATCACTAACAGTTTCGAACATATCGTTTACTAATTTTTTAATTTCATCGTTTATTTCTTGTACTTCGCTGGCACGTGTAATCAGTCTTTCGTCAGGAGCAATTACAATCGGTAATGTAGGCATAAAATTGAAATTCTATGTTTTATTTTTCTCTTTGTCCAGGTATATTAATATGTTGCTGTGTTTTTGCAATAAAAAACTATATAAACTAATTTTAAGAACTTAATTATGTACTCTGCAGTAATAGTAAAGCCAAAAAGAAATGTTTTTGCTGTTTTAGATATAGGTACAACAAAAATTATCTGTTTGATCATTAAAGTAGATAATAATTTCAACTACAAAGTAATAGGAACAGGTTACAAAATTGCAGAAGGCATAAATGGTGGATCAATCACTAACGTAAAACAAGCTAGCTATTCCATC